GAGCGGACTGGTCTCTATATGGGATCCGAACCCTCGGCGGGAGCGCCGCCCTCTACCGAGTGCGCCACTGGTCCGGCCCCCCTTTCTTTGCTTTAAACACATAATTATATTATGTGTTTGATAGTTCCAATACATGATCTGATTTTGATGTCTGCTGTTTGTGCCGGGTCTATATATTTTGCGATTTTTGTCTGTTAGCACAAATTTCTTTCTAATTTGTGCAAGTTCCTTAAAGCAAGGGTTGAAGTTCATTTCTTCACAAAGGATTTATTTTCCTCTAGAAAGGATTTGCCTTTGTTTTCCTACCTTTTTTTTTTTTTTTTGGTGGGGGGAGATCGTCAACCTGGGACCACTCCAAATTAAATGACCATGTATTTTCCAAATTATATAGTTGGTTTAAATTCAGACTGCACCCTAGAATGATAGCTGGCTTCTGGTTAAAAATACTTGGGGAGAGATTATTTTTTTCTTTTCCCTTCCTCCAGCACTAAGGTAGAATCAGACAAATTTACTCAATGTTCTTTTCTATGTGGTGGTTTATTTTTGTTTACTCATATTTTGATAGTACAGTTTGTTGGATTCCCAGTTTTGAATTGTGCTAGGCTGCAGTAAAATAATTCCTAATCCTACACCCCAAGCAGACATCAAAACAGAAGCTCAAGGTCTCCAGAATTTAGCAGAAAACCTTAGAGGGAAAGGCAGCTTTGGTGCTTACTTGCTCCCCAGAGTTCCTATTTTCACTTTGTTTTTGGCCTCCGGATGCAACTGAATAATTCATTTAAATTTTTAAAAAAAAGAATACTTTGGGCCGGCCCGTGGCTCACTCGGTAGAGTGCGGTGCTGATATCACCAAGGCCCCGGGTTCGGATCCCATATAGGGATGGCCGGTTCGCTCACTGGCTGAGTGTGGTGCTGACAACACCAAGTCAAGGGTTAAGATCCCCTTACCGGTCATCTTTAAAAAAAAAAAAAGAATACTTTATCCAGAGTTCCATTTCCATAATGGAATTTCATAAATAAGGCTGTTCAGAAAAGAGTTTAACTTACTCAGATAAATTTTGAATATATATGTGAAATTTATATTTGAATCAACATTATTTTGTTAAACTATAAGTAAATTTTGTTAAAATGTTTTTAAATATCCATTTTGGAAAGCTTGGGAAACCAAAAATTTTAACATTAGCTATAGGGAAATTTTTCTTATACAACCAACTCACAAACTTGGAAATACAAAGTGTACATATGGGACTGTTTTATGTACTCACTGTATTTTTTTTTTCTTTTCCTTTTTTCCCTATATATAGGAATTAACTCAGAAAATCAGCAAGATCAAGGTCTTGTCATTTACTCTTACATTTAGCATAATGAGTCTTCTCGCAGATAATTGGATATTTCAGCTTTGTGCTAAGTTATATATTCTGTGTTAAGAAATGGTCAAAGAAAAATGATATCCCACATTTGTACTGATTGTGCCTTTTCATCTGTACTTTCTGTTTACCATTCAAAAGAAATTAATCTTTACCTGTAAGCAACAATTGATTCAAAGAACTTCTGCAGCTTTCTAATTGCCACACCATATGGTATTTATTAGCTGATTCTACAGCAGTAAGCAAACTACTGAAAAAGAAGAGTTAAAGTTTAATACATTAACAATATTGAGTCTTTTTGTATAATAAAATTTTGTTTTAAGAGAAGTATTCTAAGTATTTTTCACATTCAAAAATTAACTCTATTTCATAAATGTATGAACTAAAGTAGAGTTCCATAGACCAAATTTCAAATACTTACTTCCTCCTCCCTGGGAAAGTTTAGTACTTCGTAAACTTAATTGCTCCTGTTTGCCTATAAGTTACTCCTACCTCTACCTCCCTCAGTGGAACCTGGAGCCATAGGGGGCTGACTTGGGAAGGTTTTAGCACTTCCTTCCATAAACTGTGCCAGTACCAACCCTATAAGCCACTAAAAATAAAAATACAATCTAAGTAAAATTAATGTGCTTTGCATGCAAATAACAGGTTCAATAAAAATTTTTACAAAATTGCTGGTCCCCAAGTCCTTTCTATGTAGCCTCTACTGGCTGAGGATGAGAACTATGAAAAAGTCCTGTATGTTCTCCCTTCTGTGGAGGTGGCAGGGTCATAAAGTTTATTTCAGGTCCTTCAATCGTGGTGGGTCTATGAGTGAGTAATGTGTATCTCTCTGTGTTTATATGTTTTGAGGTGCTGGGGGGAAAAGGGAGGAAATATGCATGACAATCAGTGTAAATGACACTCATCAGTAGCCATGAAGCTACTAGCTTTGGTAGGAAAGAGATCATTAATTTACAACCCCCTTAATCTATGCCCCAAAGCTACCACTTCCCCAGTGAGAATTGATTATATTCTGTTTCTCTGTTCATATAGGACATGTATAAGCATGCTAAGTCTTTTTTTTTTTAAGAAAAACTACATAATTTTATTAAGAAAGTATTCTTACATTAGATTTTTAAAGCATAAATTCCAAAGAAAAGTTTGATAAACTACATAAAAGTTTATTAGAATTAGAAATTTCTGTTTATTATACAATATAATTGAGTCTGCAAAGGCAAGACAGAGAGGGAGAGAAAATTTGCAGTGCACATTTGCAACAAAGGGCTTACAGTGCAGAATATATGAAGTATTTTTTTTCTTTTTGACAGTTTTTTATTGAAACATATTTGAGGGGCCGGCCCGGTGGCGCACTGGATAAGTGCGCCGCCTGGGAAGCGCGGCGGCGCTCCCGCCCGAGGGTTCGGATCCCACATACAGACCGGTTCCCGCTCACTGGCTGAGCGAGGCGCGGGAGCGACGCCGAGGGCTGCAATCCCGTTGCCGGTCCCCGGTCCGGTACGGGGGCAACACTGAGGGTTGCGACCCGTTGCCGGACCCGGAAAAAAAAAAAAAAAAAAAAAAAAAAAAAAAAAAAAA